CCCCCCCCCCCCCCCATTGTCTTGCTTTCTTTCGCCCCCACACAAGTATTTCATAAAGTATTACGGCTTGCCTTACATTTTGAGTTGTGCAAGCCGGCTATAGGACATAATTTACAAACTAAACTAGTATCGATACCATATGAGCTAGTTAGAAATGACTCAGATGCTGGTCATTTTGGGTAGGGCCCGGGGGGGCGGGGGCGGATGGAGGACGACAAAATTATTTTATCGCACCGGGTGACGCCAACTCCAGTAACGCCCCTGGTCATACAATTTTTAAAAAAATGCCTTAAAGATATATTTTTGTTGAGATTAAAAGGTTTAATAAAATATACGTTGTCTGCACCAGGCCTCCGAATAAATAGAGAAATAACATGCACCGCTGGTCGGCGTAAACTAGTCTAAACTAGCCTAAACTATTCTAAACTAGCCTAAACTATTCTAAACTAGCCTAAACTATTCTGAATTGGCCTAAACTATTCTAAACTAGTCTAAACTATTCTAAAATAGTCTTAACTATTATAAACTAGTCTAAACTATTCTAAACTAGTCTAAAGCTATTGTCGTTATTGACCGTCTTAGGAATCATTGAAGACTTACCTTAATTTCATTATTTTTTGGGTGGGGTGGGGGGGGGCTGCCCCTTTTCCCAATAGTTATAACTACAAAAATCCAATCAGTATGAAATGTCTGTCACTATGAGACTTTGTTACTATTAGAAGTTTGTCACTATGCTATGTCTGTCACTACGGAATGTCTGTCACTACAAAATGTCTGCCACTATGAGACGTTTGTCACTATGGTATGTCAGTCACTACGATATGTCCGTCACTAAAATATCTCAGTCACTACGATATGTTTGTCACTATGAGAAGTCAGTCACTTCGAGATGCCCGTCGCTACGAGATGTCCATGAATCACCACAAGATGTCCATTCTCTACGAGATGTCTGTCACTACGAGATGTCCACCACTACGTGTGTGGCCCTTCACTACAAAATGCACTACGAGATACCATCCTTACGACATGTCCATCACTATGACATATCCATCATTACGAGTTGTCTATTCTCTACGATATGTCCGTCCCTACGGGATGTCCATTACTATAAGATGTCCATGATATTCTGTCCGTACAAGATGTCCATTTCTCCCATCTCTATGAGATGTCCATTACCACGAGATGTCCATCATTACGAGATGCTCTTCGCCATGAGATTCTGTACCTATTCTACATGTCCATCACTACTAAATGTCCATTCTCTACGAGATGCCTCTCCTTTCCATATATCTATTACTATGAGATGTCCATCGTATGTAGATGCTCTTCATTGCGAGAGTCTGTCCATAAAAGATGTCCATCACTACGAATAGTCCATCACTACGAGTAGTCCATCACTACGAATAGTCCATCACTACGAGTAGTCCATCACTACGAGTAGTCCATCACTACGAGTAGTCCATCACTACGAGTAGTTGATCACTACGAGATGTCCATCACTACGAGTAGTCCATCACTACGAGTAGTCCATCACTACGAGTAGTCCATCACTACGAGTAGTCCATCACTACGAGTAGTCCATCACTACGAGTAGTCCATCACTACGAGTAGTTGATCACTACGAGATGTCCATCACTACGAGTAGTCCATCACTACGAGTAGTCCATCACTACGAGTAGTCCATCACTACGAGTAGTCCATCACTACGAGATGTTCATCACTATGAGTAGTTCATCACTATGAGTAGTTCATCACTAGGAAATGTCCATCACTACGAGATGCCCATTACTACTCTTTATTACTTCGTGACATGCAAATGTATTTATTTTTTTAAAATTGTAATTTTATTCTTCTTCTCATGTTCTTATATGCTTGCCTCTTATGCCTTTAGGTTTTGTCCAGCAGTGTACGCTAGTTACATCCAATTACTAGTAAAGGTGTAAGGGTACACAAAAAATAATTTAAAAAAAAAAAACATCCCAACCTTATAGATCTAGAACTTACCACCGGAGCCAGTAGAATAGCATTTATAGCGCATGACCTCTCCACCATAACGCGAAGTGCTCTGATAGACAAGGGTATTTCTGTTTGCTATGTTTGTTATATTAGATCCTTCACAGCGGCAACTGATCTGTTGGAACAAACGGAACGTTACGCCAGTAGAAACAGGTGCGCTCCCTTGTCATGCTAAAAAAATCTTTCAATGCCTCGTTACATTAACAAAATGAATGCCCCCTCACCTCCCCTAAAAATGACATTTTAGTATACATTTTCTGTATGTATTTTTGTTAGTATTTATGTATGCACGTGCGGGATTTACCCTTTATCGGGGAAACGTTTTTAAGTCAATGGGTGAACTTCTAAACCATTTAACAAAACATTAGCGTTCCCCTCCTTTGGGAAAAAAAAAAGCACAACAGGAAAAACTTATTTTTGGCCGTCGGGGGTGGGGCTGAAAGTTTGATAAATTTGTCGTCATCGGCAATGACTCTATGTGCCACGTTTCAGCTCGATAGGATGACGGGAAGTGTGTGTCAAATAGCTTCCTTTTGAAAACCAGGGAAAAAACTAATTTTGTGGGGGTTTGCGGGGGAGGGGGGCTGAGAAGTC